GTTTCAGGTTTTGGAGATGAGATTTGGATCTTTTGTTTTTCCTGAGTGAAGCCTCCTGCTGCAGATACCCAGACATCAGCACCAGCTGTCCCACATGTAGCTCGCTCTCAGGGCGGAGGATGTCCATCCGTTTGGGAGCAGCACTAAGTGCCTGGCTTCAGGTAAAGTGTTGCTATAATGTCATGTAATAATGTTACGTAGTCTCTGATTGCATGGTGAAGGAAATGGCCTGAGGAATCACAGACAGGTGTTAACCTAATGTGGACTTAATGGTGTTTTAACCAGGGCACTCTGACTTCATCTGTCTCTGTCTGGGATCTAATCAGGTTTCTCTCTCTGTGTCTTCAGGTCGGTGATTCCTGGTCACATGACCTGGATACAGTAGAGATCCGTCTTCATCTGTCTGCAGCATGATTGTGTGAATTTGGACGTGGGCTGTGGGTGTGTATGGAAGCATGTTCACATTACAAATGCCAGCGGTGGATAGAAACCAAGTTACTGTGTTTAAATGCAACTTAAAGATACTTGTACTTCACTGGAGTATTTCCATTTAATGCTACTTTACACTTTTATTCCACCACATCTCTGAGGGAAATATATTCTCTTTTATATCACTAAGTTAATCAGAATCAGAATCGGGTTTTTTTTATATCTTATTTTATAAGTAGGTTTTTAACATAAAAGGAATTTGTTTAGTTGTTTTGCTGCTTAATGATGAACATAATAAGAAAAGAAATATAAACAAAGATAAAACAAGCAGGAAATATAAAGAGAAACATTTAATTGTGAACTGAAATTACAAACAACATAAGGCAAAACAACGTGCACCGACACACCGAAGCAGCCATCTTGAATCAAAGTACCCATAATTACTAGTTACTTTGAAAGACCATATTGTATATGTTTAACACATTTTATTAACTTTATGTTCATTTTTCTGCTTATGTTCTTATCTGGATTTAGATTTCTAGACTTTTACTTTAGCAGAGAATTTACTGCATCTATTATAGAAGCTGCTACTACGACTCACTGTGGACTGTTTACTTGCTGCTGATGCAAAGACTGTTGAAGTCATTTTCTAATGTGCAGGTTTAGTTTCCACACAACTGTGCACGTGAATAATGATGTGTGCAATATCATAACTGATCTCAGTGGTGGAAGCTGAGTCATGGACAGCTTGACAACCAGCTATACAGATAGATCCCAGGATTAAACACAATGCCATGAATTTTGACAGGAATAGCTAAATGCTAGTCGAGCTAGCTTCCAAAGACAACATGGACGAATCACCTTTTAAGTCGATACGTCGAACAGTTTATTTACTATCCAGTTACAGATCAACATGATCTCATAGCTGGACTATAACACCACTATAACCCTTTACAGTAATATTAGATTAATATAATAAAAAAAGATTATGGCTTATGTAAACGAGTCATGGAGGAAGCATTCATCTCCTTCACTTAAATAAAACTAGTAAAACTGCAGTATAAAAATAATCCATTTAGAAAAAACATCTCCAACTTCTTTCTGTTTTCATTCTCATTTTAATTTGGACTACAACTCCCAGCCACTATTAGACAAACACTCAAACTTCTGGAGTAAAAATCCATTGATTATTTAGTTGATGCAGGTTCAGTCTCCATATGGTGCTGCAGTCACACGAAGCACGTGCACTCCAGCACCGGGGAGATGTCACACTCGCTGACAGTCGGGTTGTTGCAAATGTGTAAGTAACCACGACACATTGGCCTGTCGTTAACTGGTCACAGTATATCGCCGTTAAAGTTACAATGCACCAGTAAAAGAGGAAAAGAAGATCACACCCAGGAAACACTGTACATTAAAAAACCTTTTATAACAGAGCTTTTTAAATATGAATGTAGTCATTATGTGTGTTGGCTATACGGACGCACAATTTACCTTCTGGGGAGAAAAAGCTGAATCGAAACAAAACCATGTTTATTTAAGAAGATAATGTAAGACCAAAGGTGTGCTTGTCAGCTTTCAGAGCTTTCAGCCACATCCCATGGTCTTCATGCCTTCTACACCTTTGAGTTGACATAGTTGTATTTTTATACCAAAGGTCAAGACTGAATGTGAGCTGAAAACTGTTTGTTTAGGATGAAAAGTGACAGTTTACTGGGGATTTTTGTCCTGGATCTGTTCGGAAAAACACAAGACTTAAACAACAAGATTTAAACTGGGATCAGCTCAGTTTTATGGAGCTTAAAGTCTTGACTGACTGTTTGTTTTTAGTTTATTTATTTACTTATTTAATAGGGACATTGCAATTTAACTTAGTATAAAACAAGGCATGAAACTAATGTGTTGTACAAAGAGTTTATAGCTGTTACTAATTCTGGACTCCTGTAGCTAGTTTTACATGATGAGTTTTTTTTTTTACAATTCAAAATAATTAAAACAGTTAATATCAAAAACAACACAAAACAAATCCTACAATTAGCTAAAAATATAGACAAGGACAGCACAACAAGCAGATAAACAGTCAAACTATAACGATTAACAATAGATACAATTACCTAGACGTGGGAGCAGCTCTGTAGGGATTTGCTTTTCATAAAGAAATTGAACATTTGAAATTATAGAGTATAATATCAGTTTAGTTTAGTTCCAACGATCTGAGGTAAAAAATAAAAACACTGCTGTTGATTACCTGGTCCACAGGTAACCAAACAAAGGCGGGAAAGTGAATAATATGTTAAATTCCGAGTTTTCTAACAGAAATGTCAAAACATTGTGTGACTCTCTCTGTGTGTCTATAATTACATGTAGGGCCCATGCTGAGTCTCAGGGGAGCCGCCGTGGAGCACATACAGAAATAAAGTTGATCTATAATTCAGCACAAGGAAGCAGCGGCTTGAAATCACAGCGGCGGAAAAACGCACCTGCGATAACAAACCGCCTCCAACGCGTTCAGGCCGTGAAACCAACCAGTGCGATGAAACAACACAATGCAGTTTCACATGTAAGCAGACTGGACTACGAGCTGTCAATTAGAACAATTCATTCATCAATTATTTATAAACGCTGCAGGCTTTAGTGTCGCCACAGGAAATAACAAAAAGTTTAATTTCTTTAATTGATACTCACGTGTGAGTTTTGTCGCGACACTCCCTCATCACCGGATCATCGTCCTCCACTGATGTCACACTCACCCCATGATGCGCTGATAAGTTTCACACTTTTACGGCTGGAAATGACAAAAGTGTCCAACACGAATCGTCGGATGTTGGGAAAAAAAAAAGACAAAAATATTCTCCTGGTCAAACTTTCAGGACACGCTTCCCTCTGAGTCCGCGGCAGACTCGGCTGTGGACACGCAGGTTTCCTCCATCTGAACCACCCGTTACTCCCAGAGGCGGTTCTTCGGCTTTTTCCGTCACATTCCGGAACAGGATCGAGATTTCCGATGATCTCCGATCGAGAAATACCTTTAATGTACTGTACGTGTGTAGGATTGTTTTTATGATGCGTTCGCGGCCCCTCGGTGGTTAAGTTAGAGCGGATTTAATGACAGACCTATTTCTACAGTCTTTACCGTTACACTCACTCAGGGACTCAGTCTGCTGTGATCAATATTAACTCTGTGGTTCTTTATTGAATTTTTTATTTCCTGTGGCAGCACTGTAATATGTTTTCTCACAACTGGGGTTTTAAGAGTGTGTATACTAGTGGTCCCTAATGAAATTGTGTGAAATCTCAGGTGTCATTTAATGAACTCATTATTTTTTAATCACTGTAATATGCCTCTAATATCCACAGAGACATGTTGCATTGCAAGCAAGAGCTTCAAGTTTCCCACAAACTTGTTCAGCTGACTTTTCACTTTTTCTCATTACAGAGCGTAAATACTTCCTCTCAGAGACAGCAGCACCTGGTGCTTTAAAAAGAAACACGCTGTTAAAAGTCATTTTGATTTCATAAAATAAAAGAAGATAAGTTTGTTTTTATTTATTTATTCATATATATTTTTGTGAACACATTTTTTACTTCATTTTCCTGATGGATGTATTATAAGACATGATTTTCACATATAATTTGGTAAGGATACAGGAATGTAACACAAATGAGACAGGTAACATAGATACATAAACGAGTGGCTGCTAAATTTCATAAAGAAAAATCAAAACAAAAACAAAGATGAAATGTATCAATGTCTATATAAACTATTTTATATAAAATATATAAAAAATGTAAATCACAACAATTAGTTTTTTGTGAACAAATAAAAAGAAAACACAACTTAACTGACCAGGATTTGAAAAAGTCTTAACAACTCTCATATATTCAGAAATGTAGTTATTTATTATTATTCTGTGATGTCTGTGATAATTGCTCCATCTAGTGGTTAAAGTCTGGTTTTACATCTCACTGTGAACATGTAGGTCCACAGGTCCCATCACATTCCCCTCCTTTACTTCTTTCATAAACATGTACTTCATGAAGCAGAGCCACACGACAAAAATCTGTTATCTTTTCTCTTATTCTGTCCCTTTTCATATGAGGTTGGTGCTGACAGTTAAACTGTTGCTGATTCTTAGTGTTGTTTTTGTAGTGTGAAATGAACAAATTCAGTTTTTCTAATGATGATTATAGCAGCTGAATTTTTAAAGCATGTTTCTTTATGCACCCTGAGCTGACAGAAAAACAGAAACAGAAAAAACTCCAGTATTCTGAAGCAGTTTGTATTTAGCTGGTCGACATTATACTGCAGTTCATATACATTTCTAAATTATTATACTTCTTTTTCAATCATTTTTTTTAAAAACAAAAATCTTTTGAAAGTAACATTTGGTTCCAAAGTCAAAGCAAACAGAGCATTAAAAAAATAATGTATATTTTACATAATTACTGACTGTGCTCTGACAAACATTGATTTCAGTTCACACCAAAATCAGCTTGTGTGGTGTGATCTGTGGTGTTTATATTTCATGGTCTACAGCATGCTGAATTAAAGGTACAGTCTTTTAGGTGATTCACTGTAGCACCTGTTTGGACCTTCTCCATGGTCCCACTGGGTTCACCTTCTTCTCTACAGAGTTGCAGCATTTACAGAAGAAGTGCAGCCTGATGTGGCTGCTGAACTTCTTGTCTCTTACTCCGTAGATGAGAGGACTGAGCAGACGCGGAAGCACGTTGGTAAACAGGAAGGTGGTGAAGAGGATCTTGGTGCGGTCACGGGGCCAGGTGGTGATTAGGATGACGGTGATGAGGGGGGAGATGAATGACAACATGCAGATGAGGAGCTGGACTCCGTGCAGCAGGATAGTGTTGCGGGCGTTTCTGGCCGAGTCCCTGTTAGAACCAGAGACGGCCCGGGCAGCGCAGAGGACCTTCAGGTAGGTGATGATCAGAGTCAGGCCGACGAAGGAAAACAGAAGGGCCTGATGGGAAGATGTGAAGAAACCAAACCATGGTCATTTTAATCGGCCATTGATTAAAACTCGTTAAAACTAAGCCATTAAATAAAAACAAAAACAAACTGCTCTGTGGAATAAGCAGTAAACAGAAATGGCTGGTGTTAAAGTACAATATGTGATGCTGTGGACGACAGCAGGATTATGCAAAAACCACAGAGCCGATTTGCACTGAACTTGGTGGAGGGATGAGTCATGGGCCAGATAATAAGCCATTAAATTTTGGGGCTGACCAGATCATTTACCATGAATTTGCACTTTCTCCTATGAAGTCTGGTGTAGGTTGTTTGACATTGGTTTTGGTGGAGATCTGTGCAGACCTAGTGTTGTGTAAATGAATTGTCCTGTTGTGAGCTTGTGTATATGTAATATGTAAATGGGTCTCTCTTGGGAAAGAGATCTTGTTCCTGAGACTTCCATGAATAAACAAAGCTTAACTAACAAAAATCAATGAAATAACTATCAGTATTTCACCTGAACAACCACACTTTGAGCCTTGTGGTGCGATGTGCTGTACAAATAGGTAGGGTAACAGATGACAGTCCTTGAGTAGACAGAGGGAGGCTGGGTGGCGAGGACGATGATGATATCTGTGAGGGCGGGGATGACGGAGACGCCCCAGATTAGTGCGATCAGAGCGTAGGCGCGCTGCACAGTACACATCTGGACGTGATGAAGAGGTCGGCAAACAGCAATATAACGCTCCACCGCCATGCCAGCCAGGTTCAGAGGGCTGTTCCTGGATAAAGACAAAAAAAAATGCATGATAATGATTAATCAGCTCTTTAATCAAGAATTAACGGAGCCTTGATATCAAGAGTGCTAGGAGTTTTCATCATTTACAGAGTCAACAGAAATATAGTTTTAGATTAGACATGCACCAAATGTCCTATTAGCAGCAGTGCTGTTCATTCAGTGTAATGGTCAGACCAGGAGATTTTAAACAGAACATTTTCTAGCTCTGCTCACTTAATTTCACTTTACCCTAACATCCTCACGTCGCCCCCCTGTTCGCTCCCCATTTCATCTGTTCGTCAGCCGCGTGTAACGTATTAGCCACTATGGCGATTGTGTTCGCCGACCGTTTGACTGTCGACGACAGTGTTCGCGGGCCGTTAGTTGACTCCCTTCATGGTTTTGTAGTTCGCCGACCGTTTGACAAGTCAAAGACGGTGTTCGCGGGCCGTTAGTTATCTCAGTTTAGTTCCCCGACCGTTTGTCACGTCGAAGACTTTGTTCGCGTATCGTTAGCTTACTCACTTCATGGCGTTGTAGTTCGACGACCGTTTGTCATGTCGACGACTGTGTTCGCGGGCAGTTAGTTGATTCACTTCATGGTGTTTTAGTTCGTTTACATTTTGTCATGTCGCCGATCGACTCTGTTCGCGGGCAATCCACCGGTGGCCTCCGACCGCTAGGGGGCCTCCAATCCCCTGCCAACTGTGGCATCAGCCTAACTTTTTTTTTCTTTTTAAGCAAATTAAATAAATTAATTGAGTGTGTGTTGAAATACAAACCAATGAATGCAGAGTTACTTTATTTGAAAATAAGAACAAATATTACGAATCGTTGCTAGCTATGTCTGTACCATGATGATGACGAGTCAGGTCAAAGGTCAGGTCAGAATTGAGCGGCAAAGTCGACCGGGTGAGGAAGACCCCTTTAAACATCACGGAAAACAAACGTTGGAGTAGTAGAACAGCAAAGGGAAAGGCGAAATAAAATAAAGGGATATCGAATTTCGGAGAAATATACTATCTATCTTGACTTTTTCGGCAACTCGGCTTGCTAGCGTTAGCAAAGAGCCTTGGGAGGACGATGCTAATGTCGAAGAGGAGTACAGTAAAAGTAGCAACCACTAACGGTCGTTCAGCTCAACATCGGCAAGACCTGTGACACCCACCTGTTCACCTGCCTCACCCTCATCTTCAACCCAACACCGATGCAGATAGCGGAGATCCGGTGGCGGGTATGTTACATATCTTTAGGTTACCAGTTTAGCAGCCCCACAATTATCTTACTTTTTTCCTGTTTAAACCATTAGTTACTTTAGCTAGCTATGTCACCCATTCAGGCTAGACGCCAGGAAGACGTTCGGGGCTGTTGAAAATTGTGAGGGGGAGTTTCATTTCTCATAAAATAACCTTCATTTATTTAACTGCTTGGTTGTGTCCAAACAGTATTTTTCAATAAAACCATGACAGAGCTCAGGGATGAAGCGCTTGTGCGTTATCTTAAACATTGTAAGATAATGCCTTGATGTTGTCGCTGCTGGTCCCTCAAAAATACACTCAAAGTACCAAGTATGCATTATGCAGAATGATAATCATTATACACTATAACTGGATTATAGTTATTGATTCAGCATTGTGTTAATCACACTGATTTGTATACTGCTTAATTTAACCTACAATAATACATCATAATTTTCGTGTTGACTATATTTTGTACTATTAATCTTAATCTGCAAAGGAATTAGTATTACAAGAGTGCAGCAAAAAGTACAACATTTCCCTCTGAATTTCAGTGGAGTAGAAGTAAAAGTAGCAGTACAAGTAAATACTCAAGTATAGTTCAAGTACCTCAAAATTATTCCTACCATAGTTGACGAAATGTACGTAGATACTTTCCCTCACTGGAAATTTTAGGCCTGTTGAGGCAGCTGGCTGTTTTATTTGTATGGACAGTTGGTTTCTGCTCATATGCTCCTGTCCTGTTGCCTAGCTCATGGAGTGTATTTATTTGCATTAGTGTATAAGTTATTGTAGTGGCTGAGCTCATGTCTGCTTTGGTTGTTGTTTGGCTGGTGTATTAATGATGCTTTCATGCTGCTAATGTAAGTTTACTATTTTAATAGTAGTCCTGTTCATATTATAGATAGATAGATAGATAGATAGATATTTCGACTGAAAGCACTTGATATTATATTTATGCTTGTGCGGCTGGGTATATGTTTGATTGAGTTAACTTATTGTGCTGTTATAATATTTGATTTTTTTATTACTGTCTGAAAAATAAGGTGAGGAATGAGTCATGTGGATGCACAGATATGACAATAAATGTATTTATTTATTGATTAATTAATTAATTCTGCCCTTTTATGAACATTTCTGTCTCAGTGTGAGTGAACACTGAAGATATACACCATATCTGTGCATAAACAGTTATTTGCTAATCTGGAAACATTTTTGTTTTGTTTTGTTATTTTTTTCTAAGAATTCAGAATAAAGTAAAAGCAAAAAACATACATAATACAATATTTTTTATCCAGATGATTATAAGAGTAATCTTGAAATACTTTAAGAAAAACAGTAAGTTTCATTTACAGAAGTAATGGGTTTTTCAAAGGTTGCTGCCTTTTTTTTCTTTCAGAAAAACAGACTCTTATCTCTGTGACTCAAATGTAATAGCACTGACATGGGGCTATAGGGTGAGTTTGGTCCAAGCCATTAGTTTCTTTGTTTTAAATTAATAACTATCTAAATTAAATTAATATTTATCTATCTCAATTCACTCCATAGGGATGTTACATTGACTAACATACAGCATACATATTTCCTCGTTGGAAGTTCTGCTTATTAGATTTTATTTTAAGTGCCTGTTAAGTGGAAACTCCAGTTTTAGAGACACACACATTCTAAAACATGTACTGCATTTAGTAGCAATGCCAGAGCCAAGGAAACCTGACAGAGGCACACAAGCATATTAATTATGTTAACACTTTCTATTGAACACAAACACACACCTACTTGTTGGTAGTGATTAAGATGAGCAGCATGATGCAGCAGGGTGCGAAGTTCAGGGGAATGGTGTAGGTCATGATTTGCAAGGCCACAGAAACTGTCAGCATAATCATGTCGTTGATCACCAGATGGATGTACAGCACATACCTGCTGGGGAGAGGAGTGCAGTAGTTAGGAAAGAAGATGAGATACTGTATAACCTGTATATCTAATTCAGCAGATCTGAATATCAGACTCATCAGTTTTATTGTGAGCATCTTCACATATTTGTCTGAAAGAAAAAAAAATCACGCATGGTCCTGTGTCACCTGGGGTCTCGCTGGAAGACCTCGCTCTTAAAGTAAATGTAGACAAAAGCTCCATTGATGCAGTTGATGAGGAAGCCGAGAGCAAAGGTGATGAAGTTCTTTGCGAAAGCATCATTCAGGCCGTCCATACGTCTGCTTGAATTCATATTTCACCTTGTCCTGCTCGGTTAAATCAGTACTGGAAACACAATCCATCCACAATCTCACTTATTGTTTAGTCATTTAGATTATTGAATAACTTGAAACGCATATTTGTTTCTTATCCATTTCTTGCCATAAAATGTTTTACAAAGACTCAAACATTTCGTCTGATTAAGAAAATGCAGTATAAGAACTAATATTATTTTAAGGAAAGCTGGCAAAGATTAACTTTCAATAAAGTAGAGTCTCATTCATAAGAAAGACTACAATTAAATTAAAACCAAAGTTGTGATTTGTGTATTAAAAAAATACTATGATTGCTAAGGTACATTAAAATATTCCTCCCACTGAATGAACAAAAATCAAATAATCAAATTTTTAAAGATGAATTTCATAAAAATGAACTTAAAGATTTTTTTCCATCATTACATTTTGTAATAATTTCACAATCAAGGCTAATTAAATAAAAAATAAAGAAAAAGAAGAAAAGGACTATTCAGATCATGACAATATATAGTTGATGACTAAACTTTAAATGCTCTTTTTCCTTTCAAAGTTATGTTAGTGTCGGTCTTTGGAAGAGTAGCTGCAAGACAGCAAATAGTAAATCTAACAGTGCTTCTATGTTCTTCTATTTCTGTTTCTGTCACAAACTTTTTAGAATACTGTTTTAAATGGAAAATTCAAAATTGAAATAATCAAATTTACCTCAACACCACTCTTGTCTGGCCTATGTCGAGGTACTGGGCTGATACAATGTCTCTAAGTAGTGAGAGAAACAGGAAGAGTTGCAGTTATATAGATTTCAATGCTTAAAATGCAGCGCGATGAAATTATCCTGTAGAGGTGGGGTGGGGGGACAGATAGAGGGACAGAGGAAGAATGTCATGTCTGTATTTTAAAGTGAGTGCACTTGAATTAGCTTTAGTGGTAGTAAAATAAACGCTTAATCCATAATGACTCATTGAAAAATACACTTATGTTTGTATTGTCGCAAGTTGTTGGGCCCATTGTTGTCTTGAATATAGTCATGAAGAGAAAAGGTGACTTTATCAGAAATCTGCTGCTGTTTGTCTTTACCATCATCATTTCATCCAAATGAAAGTTTCAGTGATTAGAGATCAGAATGCAGAGAGGAGAGACTTAAATGAGGATTTAGTAATTGGTGCATGTGTGATGAACTACGCAGATGTGACCATTGTCATGCCACTGAAAGACTGTAAATGTTCAGGCCTCCTGGAAAAAAATTGGCAAACAGCATACAAAAGTAGGTCTATACAACTACTACTCTGTACAACTTTAGTTTGGTGCATCTAACACTGTGGTGTACATTTCTGTAGAGGCTCTTGTGTGGATGCTTGGCTGTAAGAGTAAAACATTGCAGTGCTCAAAATGCTTTGTTTAATGTTCTTTATTAACAAATTTGACAATATTTTACAGTTTCTGAAGTAGTATCCAAATCACTTGGGTGCCAGTTTATCCATCACTCACTTATCCAAGTGTCTTGATCTTTGGATACTATTGAGATGACTTAAATATCTACATAAAAGTTCACAGCAGTTTTACTCTGGGGAAAAAAAAAAAAAAATTGAACTGAACTGAGCTGAACTGAACCATTAGCTCACGTAGACTTTTCACCTACAAGTTCACTTTCAGTAAGAATGGCCTGACCCTGATGATACTGTGGCCCCGACATGCCAGGTACCGGGTCCAGTACTTCCTGAACAGCTCGTCCCGAAAACCATAGATGACAGGGCTCAGGAAACGGGGGATGATGTAGACGAGCAGGAAAAAGATGTAACGGATCTCCAGACTCAGGCGGGGGAAGAGGGAGATTAGAGCAGCCTGAAGGGAGGGAACCACAAAGGCAAGCATGCACAGCAGCAGCTGAAACAAAAGGACGGGGAGACAATAATCTAGGAAGATCTTAATAGTTATGGATTCATATAAAAACCCAACATTTATAACAAACACTAAACTTGTATGATTCCCTGATCACTGAGGTCTTTCAACTTATACTAACGAGATGTTTAAATACAAAATTGTTTTTAAAATTGACAAAACCTTATGAAATTGTAAGGATTAAAACCAAATGAGTAGTGTTTGGGTATCAAAGTATTTATTGGTATCGATCTACCCATCCACCTACAGTTTGATTAAAAGGCCAATGTTACTGTCGTACATGCAAGCTGAAAAACACCTGTTGAATTTAAAAGTGAATGATTATAGTCAAATAATCAGACAGAAAATTGATCAATTGTCATTTATTTAGCTAAAATGACAAACATTCTCTAGTTCCTGCTACTCAGATTTGAGGATTTGCTATTTTTACATCTCTGGGTTTTGGACTATTGGTCAAATATCTGAAATCCTCATCTTGGATTTTGTGGTGGACACTTTATAGATCAAACAGTTAATCAATTAATTACAAAAACTGTTGTGAGCCTAGCTTGAAATTTTGCTTATACATTATTTATTAATTTTATGTTTATATGTTTAATTTCGTTTAAAAAAATGTCATTCTCAGATCTTGACCTTTGTTTCAGGTTGGATAGTGTCCTTATGATTTATCTCAATAGGCCTTTCTCACTGTGAACATTTTGGCTTGCTATACACAAATGTAATGAATCCTTAAATGATGTCTCCATCCTTTTAGGTGTGGCCCTGGTGTTGTAGGTGCTGGTTCAGTGGCTTTTCCTCCTGTGATACCCACCTGCACTCCATGAAGCAGCACAGTGTTCCTGGCTCTCTTCACTGAGGCCAGGCCCGTTGAAGCAGCTTGAGCCGTCACCATAATCTTGCAGTAGGTGTAGAGCAGCGTCAGAGCCACGAAGGAGAGGTAAGTCCCGTCAAACACACAGTTCTTGTAGTAGATGGACCGGTCGCGAAAGAGAAGCGAGTGGTCGCAAAAAATGGTGGTGTGGAAGACACTTGGATCCTTGACAGTGGTGATGAGGAGGTCGGTGACCGGCGGGGTGGCGGTGAGAATAAGGATGACGCAGATGAGGAGGAGGGTGCGAGGGATGGTGCACATCTGGCTGTAGTGTAAGGGGTAGCAGATGGAGATGTAGCGTTCCACAGCCATGCCAGCCAGAATGAGAGGGGTGGAGCGGGTGGTGAGGACTGCTGTCATGATCTGAGAGAAACACAGTGGAGGTGTTGTGGTGGTTAACAAAAATGCTCCATAATTTATTTTATATTTATTTATTGTTTTGTTGCTCTTAGCTGAAACCTCTGAAACAATCCTGGCTTTGTTAGTGAGAGCTGTCTGTCTGTTCAACACATTTGTGCTGTTTTTTGTTAAAAATTTGAAGTGTGAATACTGCAGCAGCAGTAAGATTCATGTTATTGTTCAAGGGTACGTCTAAAAGGCATGAACTTATTATTATTATTATTATTATTAGTGACTTCTTCCTGTGCTGTCTTGGCGTCCTTTCATATCTCAAGTCCTGTGGGAGAAAACTGGAGAATCAACCTTTCCAAAATACTGATACGTGGCTGCTGTTCACACACATGTGACAGGCGTTTAACAGAACCTGGTTGGTAGTAAAGCTGATGTTGCGATGACTCACCAGAAAGCAGCAGACAGAGGCATGGATCCTCCTGAAGATGTAGCTGACTACGTAGAGAGCTGTGACAAGGGTTAGCTGCAGAGCGTCGTTGATCACCATGCTGATGAACATGATGTATCGCGGGTTCTCATAGAAGAGGCTAGGGTCAGAGATGGACATGTGTGTCTGTTCCTGAGCGCTCTATGATTGACGTTTACAGGCTGTAATTAATGATTATTCAAATTATATTATTAATCTGTTTTTCTGAAGTTCAAGGGGATGTCAGGAAATATCATATTTTGTCCGAACAATAGTTAAAACCCAGAGATAGTCAATTTACTTTTAAATATGATGGTAAACTGAAAATCTTGCAGCAAATCTTCACACTGAAGGTGGAACAAGAATTTATTTGGTATTTTTGTTTAAAAAATAACTTAAATTGTTTCAGCTATAGAGTAGAGCCTGAGTAAAGTGGATTCATATTTAAGCAAATTATTTTACGTGATGAGGTCAAATAGGTTTGGTGAGTAACAGATATGATAACAAAGAAATTCTTTTTTCTACAGCAAATGTGATGCAGTTACCATGTTTAGGAGTTGCTGCTGTTTATTTCCATAGTTGGCATGATCACATTAATCATCACGTGTGTTCAGAAACATAATGTTCGACGTGTCTGTGTGTACCTGTGTCGTAGGAAGGTGTGCACCATGCTGCTGTTGATGACACTGAGAGCCAGCCACACCAGCATGGCCATGATGTTTTTGGTCAGAGCATTAGAGAAGCTGTCTTTAGATACAGCCACAGCGCCCTCTGTCAGTGTAGAGCTGGTATTACTCAGCAGCAGGCCCAGAGGGCTGTAGGAGGTGGAGTTGTTCATCACCGACATCTTCACCTCACCATCTGAAGAAACAGACACAAAGTCTGATGTTTTATAGACAAATACAAATGATTGTATTCATGAATTAAACCTAGTGGCGTTATGATTATAGTTATTTGAATATATTAAATACAAATGATGTATGATTCACTAAGAGGCATTTTTGTTAAAAGTCTGGACAAAACACAAAAACATGCACTATAAGGAACAGAGATGAGCACATGAAATGCATTAAAAGCTGTATAAAAGGCTATATAGTCATATTTTCTAATAATAAATATCTTGACATCTTAACAGTGCTTATCAGTGCGGACTAGAGAGACCAATACATGATGAACTGATGAAGCCGCTTGGATAAGAGGCGAAACGTCTTCCACAGACAAATACAAGTCCAGTTGCCTTCGATTTAATTTGAGAGAGAGATAACTATGACCTGGACGAATGAGAACATTCACAGACATGATATCTTAACCTGTACTTAAAACCACAGATCTCTCAGTCTCTTCAGGAGTTCATCGCTCAGTGTTAGAAAATGTGACTCTGAAATCTGCAGGAAGATCAGAGGAAATGCATCTCAAGTATAAAGAACTTTTAAAGCAGCATTAAAAACATGTTAATGAGTTTGCTGTCTGGTAATGTGTGACTCTGCATGCAGAAAAAACCCACACAGAGAATCTTGTTGCTGATTTTCTTCATTTTGTTGCCACTTTGCAAAGCAGAGCATACTTTTATTTTGAAAGAGGATATATTAAAAGTGAAATAATAGGGGCGTCGAGTGGCGCAGTGGGTTGAGCAGGCGCCCCATATGTAGAAGCTACAGTCCTCGCTGCAGTTGGCCCTGGTTCGAATCCCGCATCGGACAGCCCTTTACTGCATGTCATTCCCCCTCTCTCTGCCTCCTCATTTCCTGTCTCTCTCTACTATACTATCCAATAAAGGCATAAAAAAAAATACTTAAAAAAAGTAAAATAATACGTGTTTAATTCTTTGTTATAAATGAAAATATAATAAATGTAAATATCTTAAGACACCGTAACATAATGATGTTTTGGGACACATCAGTATACAGTATAAACATATACGCATGCATTGTGTACAAAATTTAAAGACTTACTTCATTCAGCATCTATTCATTAATTAATAGTCTTTAATAATAATAATATTCTCTCAGTGATCTGTAATGAAAATGTGAAATGCATTAGACCAGGAAAAAAAACTTTTCTAATCACATCTCATGAAAAATCTGAATTCTTCACTGTTGAAATGCAGATTCACATATTCAACACTTACACATCCATAATATGTGCCACAGCCTTTTCAAACTCACACACTGCCTTTAAAAGTAACAACAATACAAAACTCAACAAAACGTAAAGATAATAGTGACACTATAGTCACAGACACAAGCCCTCTCTCTCCTGTGATCACTGACTGTCAGTGACCTCCTCCAGCAGCCTGGGCTCTCATATATAAGGATTTGTGTGGATGCTTGTGTGTGTGTCTGTGTGTGTATTGTTGTCATAGAGATAAGGTGAAGGTCACCGGCCGTGGATTTCTGTTATGAGCATGAGGAGACTTTTGATCCCTGAGCTAGTGAGGAAGAGGAGCAGATTAACCCATGGTTTTAACAACTCCAACAACAACAATTCATCAAGTGAAAGCTGTATTTATGATTCAAACCATTATCATATTGTGACATTTACAGAAATCTGACGTTGCTGGGTTGTAAAGAAAGTGTTGAAAACGTTGAGTTCAGCTGAGATGTTGTTCAGATCTAAAATCAAACACTGTCGACCAGCTGGGAAGGTGCAGGATGTTAAAGGGAAGACAAACCAGACCAGAAAATATGAACACTATTAGCCAAACAGCAACCTAATCTGGAACAGGCAACTTAGTATAACTCACTATTGTACCAGTGTGTGTATGTCTCATGTAAAGGAAGTTTGTTATTGTGTCTGTTTTCAGCAGTTGATTTTAAAGCCAATGGTAAAGCAGACTGATCTGCATGGTAAAAAATATAGTAGTATCTCAGGCTCTTTATTCTGCCACCAACAAGAATTGTGCACATAAGCTACTGTGAATGAATTGGCACTAAAACTAGAAAATGATGTGATATTGTCTGTTTTTCCAAAACAGAGCCCTTAAACTTCAGAGGTCATCTGTGGTCAGTAGGTTGACAATCATTTTTGTTTTTCCTGTCTTTTTTTTTTTTTTTTCTTTGAGGCAGAGCACCAACTGAATTTGAATGTAGCTGAATCACACCACCTAAACATGTAAATGACATATTAGTGTCATGTGATTGTTGAGTTGAAAATTCAGTAATTGCCATTATTAATTTTGTGAATCAACGGTACCGTATTCAAACCAGCAATGTAGGAAATGATGGATGTGTAGTGTAGAACTCAGAAAACAGTTTGCACCACCAGGTGGCGCTTCTGTCTGTTTGTGATGTAGCTTCCTGTGGGCACTGCCTTGCTCTGATTGTGGCAGATTGTTTCCACACTCGACTCTCCTTGATAACAAATTGTATTTGTGAAATATCTTCTGTCCTTCTTTATGGATAAGGAATGGAATATGGCCGATTAGTGTTGTCTGTGTTCTCCAGGAAGGCTTGATCATTTCTCTGGTCGCTGCTGTAGAGTTACTAGTTTCAGTCACTACACCCTAAACCATCATTACATTTCTACCTCAGTTAAAAGAATTGTGATGATTTTCTGTGTTGACTCATGTTAAGAGCTGACAAGACAGAATCTTTTAGAATAGCTTTTTCTTTATTGTATCAGTAAGTACATATAAAATAAATTAAATACATTTAATCCTAATATTTTTATTCACACCCTCTTGCTATAGAAATAGTTATTTGTTGTGCTGGGGGGCCACTCTCTGCAGTTTGTCCCTGCAGCTGTTGCTCAGAAGGTACATCTTGAAGTACTTCCTGAACTTTTTGTCTCTAACACCGTAGATGATTGGGCTCAGAAAGCGGGGCAGGATGTAGACGATCAGGTAGTTTGCAAATCTGATTTCTAGGATTCGTCCTGGGAAGATGAGATGTAGAACCAGCTCCACACTGGGGGAGATGTAGGAGAGCAGGCACATGGCCAGCTGGACACCGTGGAGCAGGATGGTGTTCCTGGCTCTCTGTGCCGACGTCTTCTCTGTGGAGATGGCTCTGGCTGCAAACATGATTCTCAAGTAGGTGAAGATTAGGGTCAGAAACACACAGGAGAAGTAGATGATATCAAAGGCTTGTCTCTTGTATGCAAGGATCGGGTCTTTGAACACATTCTGGCGCAAGCAGAACACCGACCCGTGAAAGAAGCTCAGGGACTCAGTCGCCAGCGTCACAAATAGATCTGTGATATCTGGGGCCACACATATAAACCAAATCAGGCCGATGACCATGTAGGTTCTTCTCACAGTGCAGATTTGGGAATGGCGGAAAGGTTCGCAAATAGCAATGTAGCGCTCGATGGCCATGCCTGCTAAGTTAACCGGGGTGTTTCTGGTGGTGAAGACCGCCACCAGGATAAAGAAGCAGCAGAAAGAGACGTTAATCTTGTAGAAGATGTAGCTGAGGATAAAAAGTGTGATGGTGACGGTCAGCTGGATGGCGTCATTTATCACCATGTGGATGAAGAGGATGTAACGAGGGTCTTCATAAAAGGTCTGGAGGAAGACAAAGGAAGAGGGGGCGGTGAAATGGACAGTGATGTAGTTGGTTAGTTCACAGAAACAGTTCATGAGGGGAGTGTCAACATTTTGTGAAGTATAAAACACAATGGACAAATGTAATGAAACAAACACACTGCAACTAATGATTGTTTAATTTACAATTAATCTGCCACTGTTCAAACAATATATAAAAAGATTAAAAAAACGGATAATCAATGCAGATCAAAATTTTCAGTCCACGGAGTCCAAGGTGATTGTTTATGTTTGAAAGCCTAAAAAAATTTACAAATTAGTTCATTAATTGATTACTTATCAACAATTTCAGTGATCGGTTAAAGGTGTAGGTCAGTTAAGAAAAACCATATACCTTATACCATTTGTACCTGAATTCAGTTTTGATCAGACATAATAATAATAGTAACTATAACCTTATTTATATAGCACTTTTCTTAACAAAGTTATAAAGTGCTTCATAGAAAAATAAAAGCAAAGGCCAAAGAGCCTGAGCTGAATAAAAAGAGTAGAGCAGCATAAATAAAAAATAAAAAAAACTTTATGCAAAAGGATCTGATAATGAGTGAAGAGAGGCAATAAAACGTGAAGACAATCAATCAAACATTACCAAAGGCTAAGACAAAGAACCCATAGTCGCAAACTTTGACCTTGGGTTATGACATGACAAGCGATCTGAAGACTGATCACTTTGGGCTCTGGGAAATTGCAGTGGGCATTTTTCATTTTTTTTCAGATATTTAATACATTGATTTAATAATCGATTAATGGAAAAAATAATTCTATCTTCTATCTGTCTGTCTGGGAAGTGCCAGAACATTGTGATCCCACTTTTGTAGTCCAGGGATGTGTAAGTCAAAAAGATAATGTGTGTGTGTGTGTGTGTGTGTGTGTGTGTGTGTGTGTGTGT